GGGGGGGGGAGGAAAAAAGGGAGGAAAAGAAAATGTGAAAGATACTCTAAAGACTAAACATGTAGTTTTTACAGAATAAACCCTCTGGAAATTGATCTTTTCAGTAGTTCAGGCTATGAATGGACATGACTAATCAGCTTAGTGTTTCAACTAAAGCTATGTTTGATTTTTTTTTAAATACTGTACACTTTAATAAATAAACCAAACAAAGCCTCAATGTAGAACAGTCACTGCCAATATCACCCCGTGTCCCTGCAGATGAGTTAACGTATGTATTCCAGTGGTCTGCAGACTTGCCTCTACAAACAGCATTTAAAACACATAACAGACCAGTTTCCAGACTAAACTAATGAAGAAATTACAATTCAGTGCAAAATATTTTAAACTGCTTCATTCTAGTTTTCCTCAGGTGAAGAAGTGGTTGCATATTATTAAAAATGTAACAAAAGCAGCTAATGCTTTCATAAAGAATATTACGTTAGGGACCCCACCCCACCCACCTCCCATCTCTGCCATATTTTGAAAACAAAATAACATTTCCTATAGCCAGCAACTTTTTTTAATGTTACATATACTATTCTCAAGGCACATCTGATGATATATTTTTAACACAGTAGGTGTCAAAGTATGTTTAACATATGATTTCTTCAGGATCCCTCCCCCTTTCTGAATTCCAAATGGAGGAACTGAAAGTGCGATGTAAGACTGGCGATCCGAATTCTATCTTTGGCAAGCTTGTACAAGCACTATTGTAACTGTAATGTAAAAGAACTGTAAACTAGGAACTTCCTTCAGTTATGAAACACCATTCAGGACTGCTGCTTCTTGAGTGCTTTCTTCTTTTAAGTTCTTAGTCTTTTCTTCTCCTGGAGTACGCGGTAGTTTAGGAATTTCATCGCCAGAAGCGCTAGTTGGACCATTTATTGCCTTTTCTGAAGGGCCATGCTCTTCAATCACATCTTTTGCCTGTCAAAGGGAGACAACTTTTTCAACATCTTTATAAAGAAATCTGTAGCTGAGGAAGAAAATGACTACATAAACATTAGCTTTAAAAAGGGTAACTTTCATATGCCATACAGAAAGCGTTTTAAACAAATACCAATGCACTCCAGGCTCAGGGTTTTTAAACTACGTTATCTCTAGTACTTATGAGTGCCCACATCACAGAAAGCATTCGCACTGTTCAAGGAAACCTGTACCCAATATTTTAAACCACTGGGAAGTACACCATATAAATGGTGCAAACAGTCAATACAGTAGGTAAAACAACAATCACCCATTTTACTCACCTTTCAAAACTCCTATTTCTGATTAACACTGAAAACATTTAAATGAATTGAAACTTAAAGGGTCTATTCCCACTACTGACAAGAGGTAAATACTGCCGTGCTATCTATGTGGAAGTGTCTCAGACTCAAGCATGCACATCTTCACTCAGCAGGGGCCTGGCGAACCAAGATCTTCTTTAAATATCTTTCAGGTGAAACAAATGACTATACAGTAATAAGTAAAAAATAATTAAGTCTAAGCAATACGAAATAATAAAAACAAAACAAAAACCCTACAGGTTAAATTCTCCTTACCATTTCTTTCTTGTTTTTAGCCAAAGTTTCCCTTGGGAGGTTTCTTTGTCTGCTCTGAGACTCAGCTCTAGAAATATAATCTGCAACTGTGACTGTTAAAGATGAGAAAAAAATTACAGGTGTTGAAAAATATTTCTAAATTTTATTATGGATAAGAATAATTTCACTATTAAACTAAACTAATGGTGGGTAACCCAATTTCAAAAATTTACGCTGGGTACCCACATCTGAACAAAAGCATAGCTTGGGAAAATGTGCCTATGATTTTAGTGCTGACAATAGAAAAATTCAAGCTGGAACTTGAGGAAATCTAGGTTGAAGTCCTTTTGTTCAAGAAACCAGCCATCTCCTGGCTGAGTCTAAGACTGTGAGATGATTGTGGTGTAGCAACCCACCACCAAGAACAAACACTTCAAGACAGTGTTTTAAGTACAGAGTGGTGTTTGCAGTTATTAGTATGTGTGTGTATATATGGGGGAGGGGGAGGATGTTGGCACAAATCATGATGGGATAGTTAAATTTTTAATGTTTTATGTTTTTGGTTGTCCCTTTGGCCCATGAAAAACAGCACGATTAAGATATTGAACTGTGGTATTTGTGGTTTCTTCCTAACATTTCATGCTAGACAGCATTTAAATTATCTGATTTTCAAATTTTAAGAAGTACAGGCAAACTAAGACAATCCTAATGTGGTTAGACACTTGTCAGGGTGGGAAAGGAACAGAGTAAAAAGAGATGCTGTCCCAATTTAAACATAATCACATTAAGTATTAGTTTATGCACTGACCTAAGAACTTGAAACTCAATATTCCTAAACAATCATTTTCTATCACAGTCTAGTTTTAAGAAAAATCCCAATTATTAAAAACTAAAAACAGGTCAATTTTACATTATTTATAAAGCCACCATGTCTGGGGAGAACTAGTTCATTACTACATGCAGCTCAAAAAATCATTTAATACAATAAAAGGCTGAATTGTATTTTACAATTCATATTAATAATGCATGTACTAACATTAAGTTTGAAGAACTCTCTAGTAATTCATTACTTTAAATGAACCTTAAACATAATTAAACATCTTGGATCAAGACTTATTAGAAAACTACATACATTTCAAATCTAAAACCGCTTTCCTTTCAAATTATAAGGAATTCCGTAGGTTCATTCTGAAGCCTACTGCCAAGAACTTTTTATGTTTAGCAATATTCCTGGGAGATTAGTATAACCTATTCATTCTGTCTACTCTATTTGGGCAATACAGCTGTCTGGAGAATGACCACGGGTAGGGACCTTCTAATGGATTATTTTGTTTTCATAGTGTAGACTTCACTGACACCTGGAGGGGTGCGGGTGTCAAGATGTTACTGCACAGATAGGCATATTGCTCAATGTAAATGTGTACAAACACTTCTTAGACCCTTTCACCTACTCCTGCACAGAATGAGAATCTTGATGTAGCTTTGAGTCCAAAGCTAAGTGGCACTTAGTTCTGTTCCTTGTCCCCAAAGAAAGGAAGGCAGTTAAGAAATTTGTTTTATAGTTCTTATGGAAGAGAATTTTAAATTTCAAGGAAAAAAATCTAGGCAAATTTGTGGCATAATCGGGACCCTGTAATTTCCTGTGTGGTCTTAAGAATGAATGGATACCTCTGTAATGTCTAAGTGTAGAAAAGACCACTCAACAGTTAATTCATAGAGAACAAAGAGCAACTAGGAATTGTAGACAAAGGAAGAACTACTTTTGTGTGAAGGCTGTCTCCAAGACTGCTGTGACATGAAGAAACTTTGGAAAAATGGGTGACTGGAAATAAAGGAATTTGGTAAGAGGAAACACAATGGTTCCTAACAACAGGGAAGTCAGGATCAGATGTAGTATGCAACAGCACATTGCTGTCAAAACTCCAAATCACTCATTTCAGTTAATTCCAGCCAAAAACATCTAGTTCATTTAGAAAAAATTCTGTGGGATGTTTTTATGTCTGTATCCTTAGCCAGGACCACTAGCTTAGGTTATGCTGAAATGCATTCCAGGTTAATGAGCTCGTACTGATAGCCTGAATTTTCTTCTTTACAAAGGAGGGCCAGAAAATACTCATTGCTGTGCCACCTTCAAAACTGAAATTCATGACCTCTTCAATTAAAATGCAATTCTAACACTAAAAAGAGGTAGAAGAAATATAAAGGCAAAACAAATTCTTTGATAGTGTTTGATTCTTTTTGCATGTCCCTCTATCTTTAAAAAAAATCTTCAGATTAGGAATTAATGTCCTTCTCTAGACTTCTCAAATGTCTCTATAACCTCTATACCTAAAGATTTACGATTTACATTATTTGTGGGGGAGAGGGGGACACATGAAAGACCATGTTTTGGAAAGAATGCAAAAATTGGTTAGTTTGAAAGGGGTTTATTTCTACTGCACACAATTTCTTCATGGTGAATATACAGTGATTCTCTGTACAATAAGAAGTGATCTGTTTTCAAAATAATAAAGACATAGCAAACAAGTTTCTTTCCAGTTATCAAAACTTGTGACAACATAAAATACTGAATGAAACTGAAGTAAAAACTATTTGAATGATTAGCATGTGTAAAGGAAAACACACACTACAATAACACGAGAACCATTATCTTTATGGCCGGAAGCATGGCAGCATGCAGGCAGACATGGTGTGGGAAGGGCAGCTGAGGGTTCTATATTCAGATCAGCAGGCAGCAGGAAGAGTGAGGCAGTCACTGGGCCTGGCTTGAGCTTCTGGAACCAACAAGGCCGCCCCTCTCGTAAGACCGTTCCCTATGAGTCTGTGGGAGCCATTTTCATGGAAACCACCACAGAGGAGCGGGTACAGCGTCAGGCATCTGTACAGTGCAGTCTTGGCGTGTGGAATCTAGTCTCTGCCCTAGAAAGTAAGCCCTGGTTCCACCAAAGTCTTCCCAGCTTCTCGTTGGAGAATTGGCAGAGCCCATCGAGTGTGGCATAATGTGCCAGGAAAAGTAGGTACTGCTTGTGGTGATCTTTGTGTTTTGACCGGGTGCCTGCGTGGGACACCTGCATGGTGGGGGGACCCTGACCTGCTGCAGTTGATGCAAGCTGCAGAACGGATTCTCTCTGACCCTCTCCTTGGGTTAGGAGCCAGCTTGGTGCAGGATTGGAGCCAATCATTTCTTCACGTCTGTCTTGTGACGTTTCCTCCCACCTTATCAAGTCGGGGATTTGTGTGCTGGCGCTTGCAGGGTTCTGAGCAGATCTGAGTAATTCTTAAGCTTTTAAGAAAAAAAATGACATTAACTGAGAAGAATGCAATGCCATGGTATTAATTTTTTTTATTATTTTGTTTTGTTTTTGAGACAGAGTCTCTCAATCTAGTCCTGACTGTCCTGGAACTCACTGTGTAGACCAGGCTAGCCTCACACTGCATGGTCTTATGGTCTTTTTTTTTTTTTTGAGCACTGTGCTGGCCCACTTCCCAGCTCCCAGGTTGTCTTTAGTTCACTTACCAAACACTGAAAAGCAAACACTGGTTAAGACACTGACGTCGCCTTCAGAGAGCATGGAATCTAGATGGGAGGAAGGTGGAGAGCATTTTTTTTTTTCTGTTCAGGCTCTCATCAAGAGGCTTCTTGGCAGTTTAACCCTCTGAAAGGAAAAATGGAGGTTGTGGCCGGGCGGTGGTGGCGCACGCCTTTAATCCCAGCACTCGGGAGGCAGAGGCAGGCGGATCTCTGTGAGTTTGAGACCAGCCTGGTCTACAGA